AGCAGTAGCAGTAGTAGTAGTAGTAGTAGTAGTAGTAGTAGCAGCAGTAGCAGTAGGAGTAGTAGTCGTAGTAGTAGTAGTAGTAGTAGTAGTGGTAGTAGCAGTAGTAGCAGTAGTGGTTATACCGTCTATTGTACATGTACGGGATATCAGATGCTCGACCCGTCTCAAGCACTCAAAAACCCGAGTCGTCACCACTCCAAGGCAACTGTCAGGGTCTTTGTTGCGATGCTCTTTGGCTTATTTGATCCGACATGTGTGCTTATAGACTTCTGCTGATGGGAGGGTGTATTCGGGGGCACATCCCGGCCCAGGATTCTATACGAGCTGCAGTTGGACATCGGTGGCGGGTCGGGGAGAAGCATCCACCACGAGCCACCTGGCCGCCCTTCGGAGTAGAGGTCTAGAGTCTAGACATGATTCAGAGACGCATAGGCTTATTGAAACCTGCATCAAAACAGCGTTCGTCACTGTTTGGAGCATGAAGGTTTGCTCGGTCTCGGTCCGCACAGGTTCGTCAAGGATGCCTACAAACGAGTGGGCATGAAAGACCAAGCCCTGGCTGCTCTCACGCACATCTTGGTTCGCTGCACGGACTACCGCTACGACGTCTTGGAGGTCTTCAGCGTTGGCGAAATTTTCCTTGCGCAGCTCGGCTTTTCCTATTCGAAGCTGCCTTTGGCTGCGACTGATGTAGGATTGGAGTTTGACGTGCGTTAGCTGAGGCAGAACGTACGACCAAGTTTTCTTGGCGAGATGTTGAGCCTTGTTTTGCAAAGTTGCAGGCCACATGCAGGCTCGGCTCGATCCGTGCTCTTCTCTCCCTGTGCTTGTCGTTTGTGTATCTGCAGAGGTTGTGCTTCTCAGCTTCTGCTACTCTTGGCAGTCCGCATCCAAAAAAATGTGAAGGCCCATGCCTTGTTTTGGGTTCCATGGAAGAAATAGAATATTATCAAATGTAGACTTTTCCGAAATTATAACAGGAAACAGACCATCATGTGCTACTGGCACTGGCCGTACGCTCTACACACGTTACTGGAGCACCATAGACGGCAGATCTACCGCAGCCGCGCCCCATGTACCCAGGAACGGGTTAAACCTTGGTGCCTTCACACTCTACGTGGAAACCTTCCTGGCGGACTATGACCCGTTGACAAAGGACCTTCTGCTTTCGAGAGAACGTTGTCAGAAATGCAGCGGGCCCTTTGCATACAGTTCACTGAGGCAGAGAACATCTCTTGAACGCAAAGTAATAGGATGAGCAGCATCAGGACCAGCAAGTTCTCCACATGGAAATCGTGGAGATGCAGAGCCACACATCTAACAACTTCAGCATCTATCTTCTGGTGCCTGGGCGTGCAAGGAAGGTGGAGGCAACACGCCGATCCTACAGATTGGTTTATGGGTCAAGTTACACGACCTGACATTGGTCCTCCTTCCGCGAAGGTTGCCACAAACTTCAAGGTCTTCCTCCTTGAGCCAAACCCTGAGAAGCCTGCATATGCGGCGGAGATCGGCGAGCGCTGGGATCCGAACTGGGAACCTCTGTCGAGCATGTTCAGCATGCCCTGACTGCATTCCGGCAGCTGTGGCAGTAGACTAGCACTGCAAACCTGAGTGAGATGTCCTGTCTCCGCACTCGTTGCGGGCGATTACCACATAAAATGAGACCAGTCTCTCTCTCCCAATGCCAACAGAAGTGAGAGACTCGCAGTTGAAGTGCACGCTGACGACTAAAGACTAGAATTTTGTCACAGTTCACATGCTCCACAAAAGGTCAAAACAGCTTTGCTACAGCCGACGGGAAAAGAGCTTTACTTATCTTAGCGTACCGGTCGTCACCATGAAAGGAAACGAACAGTGTCCCTTCAAAGGAGACGCTCTTCCCCCGGCAGCCGCTGGTCGTTTGGGAGCGCGAGTATTCGAGCTTGGTGCGGATCTGGCGATGCTACGGCTCGCAGAAGCTTGTCACCAAGACAGTGGAAGTGGGAGAGAACAGGTCCCAGGCCATGTGGCCGTCCGACCAACAGGTGACATGGACGTAGGCCGCTGCAAGCAAGTCTTGGGGTCTTTCTGCTTCGCGCCGCTCTAAAGTCAAGGCGTCAGGCCACAAACGTCCTTTGCGAGTGAGTCGAAAGACAATGTCTAGTTCAAGGTTTCCAGCGGTTCTTGAGCCTCGTGAAAGGGAATGTTGATATGTAGTAGCTCCGTTGCGAAGTGGGAGAGGGATATGTTGCACCTGCAGCTTTCTGTTGCTGTTCGTCAGCATTGTCGATCCCAGGATTTTGGCGGTTGAGTGGCAGGGAGCCGGCAAGCGACTATCCGATGCTGAAGAAAGCTCCCCTGGCAGCGGGCAGGAAATCCAGCACCTTGTGCAAGCTTAGCCTCGCGGCACTGGGTGTGAGCATGGACCTCCAGAACCTTAGCTAGACTGCCAGCCCAAGCTCGAGGTACGAAGTCTACCTCTTTCACTTGGCGGATCGTCGGGATGTCATGGCAGATTGCCTTCGTGCCTACGCAGCTTCCAAGGATGTGAAGGGCGAGGGCCCCCCGGTGCTTTGGCGAAATCTTCAAGCCCAGCCCATCGTTCTGGTTTGAGGTCGTGTTTGCAAGTTTCCTGCTCGCACGCGGTATCAGGGATTCTGAAGTAAGCTGTTTGGTTTTGCTCCCATCTCCATCCCACCGTCTTCTGCTTGGCTTGCTGCCTTTGGAGTTCGGGCTACAGGCCTAGAGAGTCTCACCCAGCTAGCTTCCCAGCCAGGTCCGTCCGCCGTCCGGAACTTTTATCTGCCTCAAGTCTGAAGTTGTTTGAGAGGTCTTGACCGACCCAAGCTTCCGCAACATCGTCATCGGGCAGACGAAGGAGGACCATGCCGTCCCGTCGGGCACAGCATGCGACCGCCGTAAATGTTTGCATGCTACTGAACATTCACCAGCCAGGCGAGCCCGGTGCCTCAGGTGCCTCCAGAAGCCCAAAGCCTCTTCATGCAGATTGCCGGTAGAACCTCAAGAAGTGCGTAGTGGAGTCGAAGCTTCAAGCTTGTAGTCCCTTGTCGCTCGGATCATGGAGGGCAGCGGATTCCCGTGTGCTTGCGTTTGGGGAAATCAGCGAAGAGCTCCCAATGCAGGAGCAGATGCTCGCAGCCACGGTGACGACCCTGGGCCCAACACCAAGGCTCCTCGCCAGTGCTCAAAGTGAGGTAGCACGGGTAGGATGCTCATGAACAGCGAACTCTTAGGAAGAGAAGAAGTGAGGTCCTGCCGCATACGTTGGGTATGCTCACTTGCTTGACTTCCATTCCTTGGGGTCTAACCCCGCAGTAGCCCTTGTGTCTCACCCTTTTCTGCTTCATTCCAGTGGTTCAGATGGGAGACTCCATATTACTACTCGTACCTACTAACCCTACCACACTACTACTACGACTACGGCAACGGCGATGACGACCATTACGACCACGACTACCACCACGATCACGACCAACAACCACGACCACGACTACGACTACGACGACGACGACTTTATTGTTTTTTCTGTTCGGTTTCGAGGTCCTAGCCTGAGGCCTTGAACATTGAAGCCCTGCAGCCAGTTTTCAATAGGTTGAGGCGGTTCTAGAAGATACCTCGCATCACCCCCTCCTCGTACTCAGCTGACGGTAGCGTTTGTGCTTCTTAACCACGAGTTTCTCAAATAACGACTGCGCTGTTGTCCGTGAGAAGGCTGTGGAGGTCTCGGGACATCAGTGTGTTGACTCTTAGCTCGCAGGAAGCCTCAGAAGCTCTCGAACTCCGATCCATTCCTCAGGGTTGGTCTGTTTGCCGCTGAGCAGAAAGCAGACCACCGGCCACGACTCTTTGTGTCGCTTGACTTTGTCTGGAGTACGCCGTGAGACTTGCAGGAGCCCCAGGGCGGGATCTGAGCTTTGTTCGAAAACATCGGAGTCTCTCCTCCTGCGGGCCTTGGGTTCCACCAGTCGGTTATGAGAAATTGTAGGCACTGTTGCACTGTGTGGTAGCAGAGCCAGGTTGACGAAGGCATCAGTCCTTGCCCCTCGGCTGACCGTGCTTCTGTCATGTTGAAGCCATGTGAAGCTTCCGGGCTAGGGGTGTTCGGTCATGGTCTTCCAGTCCTGTGAGCTTAAACGGCCATGGCTTCCAAGGAGTTCGGCATCAACTCCAGTTGCCCGGCTTGACGTCTCTTTGTGTTTTGCAAGGCCTACCCTACCCAGAAGTGCTCTTACACTCTCAAAGCTCCGGCGGCGGGTGGACGGCAGCTGCAAATGTACATGCTACTGTAAATTGCTAATCGCTTCACCCTTTTATTAATCACCCCCTAATAGTAGTAATGAAAGCACAGTCGGGCGAATAGTCCCGAAATCATCCCTGCTCTTGAAACCTATTCTGTAACAGGGGAGGGGTTTCGAGGCTCAAGAGCAAGAGCAAAAGCAACAGCAGGAGTTGGAGCAAGAGCAGGAGCAAGAGCAAAGTCGGGAGCATCAGCAAGAGCAGCAGCAAGAGCTAAGCAAAAGCAAGATCGGGAGTAAGAGCAAGAGCGGGAGCAAGAGCAGGAGCAAGAGCAAGAGCACGACCCTCAAAAAGTGGCAGTAGAGATAAGCATACCCCCTACGAATAAAAACGTTTTCCGCATTTTTTTTTGGGGGGGGGCCTTTGATATTCGGGGGAAACGATTACAGGAGAGAGTTCAAGTGTGAGAGCCGACTCGAGGGCACAGCACTGAAAAGCATGAGTCTTCGATTTGGGCCGCAGGCCAACTTGAGCCAAGAGTCACATCGTCTCCAGAGCACCTGCCGAGCCATCGGCTGGTGTGCATGATGAAGATGACAGCTGCGCATACCCCTGGGTTGAGATGGCTGCAACCCACCCGGCACGTGGACGCAAGCAGTCTAGCAGGAAGTTGCCAGAGATCCGAGAACTGGAGGGACTGCAAGAGCCGTTCTCGACTTCAGACGTTTTCCAGGCAGTGGAGCCTTTCTTTCCGTCCTGGCGATCAGCCCCACAGCAGGCCACCGTGGTGCTCCGACACTTTGCAGGTCGCCAACCGGCCCTGGCCTTGGCTGTGCTCAAGAGCATGCTGCTCGGACAGGTTAAGACAAACACAGTGCACTGGAACGCCCTTATCTTCAAAGCCACACAGGACGGGGACTGGGAACGTGGCTACGCGCTGGTGAAGGAAGAGGTGGCTGCAGGATTAAGCTGCGAAACCAACAGCTACAATTCCATATTGAGCGCTGCTGTGCGCTCTGAGCGATGGCCATGGGCGATCGCTGTGCTGTGTCAGAGATTTGAGGTGGGAGTTTCTGCTGACACGGTCAGCTTCAATGTCTTAGCCGACTCCCTCACCAAGCTTGGCAAATGGCGACGTGTCTTGTGCATCCTGCGGGATCTATTCTCTGAGCAATTGCTACCTGATGCCGTCACCTACAGTGCCTGCATATGCGCAGGCAAGTCGACGGAGCATTGGCCTCTCGCTTGTCACCTGTTGGAGAGAATGCAATCTCGCGACGTTGTGCCTGACATGGCAAACTTCGGCTCAGCGGTAAATGCATGTGGCTCAATTACAAAGTGGGAGTCTGCGGCGCGGCTTCTCCGTGAAGGTCTTGGCACAGCCCGCAGAAATGCCGCAAGCTTCAATGCCGCCATCTCGTCCCTGCGTCCAGGAGAAGCGTCTTCTTTAATGTAGCAAAAAAGCAGAGGCTTCAGCTACCAAGGCGCTAGGATAGTGACCAATGTTTTCAGGTCAGCTGCAACGATCATCAGCAGGGTGTTCTTGTTAGTAAAAGCACATGCTCGCATCTGGCAACGTGATGATAGATCGGTTTGTTCTGTGGCTGCACTGCCTATAAGACATAAAGTGTATGCCAGAAGCGGTAGGCGAGTGGCAATTGGCAGCTGGCTATTTGGAGGCCATGCGGAAATCCCAGATGGCTCCCGATGCCGTCACTTTGTCTGCAACCGTCACTGCGTGCGACAAAGGAGCCTGGCAAGTTGCACTGGTCCACCTCTTCGATTTCGCGTGGCGCAAGGTGTGCCCCAATGCTTTCGTCGGCAATGCGCTGATTTCCTGTTGTTCCAGCGACTCCCAGTGGCAAGCTGGACTGCAGATGCTTATGCTCTTGCAGCAGCTCCACATCGCCACGGATGCGGTGAGCTTCAACATTGTCTTCTCCATGCTTGATCGATCCGTGGCCTGGCAAGCCGCTGTCGCCATCATGGCATTCATGTCCCAACTACGCTCCAGTCCAACGGTATCGCAACTGAATTCTGTGATGAGCTGCTTGGCGAAGGTGCAGCAGTGGCAGCAGGCAGCACAGCTGTTACAGCATTTGCACAGACACTCCATCGAAGCTACTACAACCACCTATTCCCGTTTGGTCGAAGCTTGCAAAAAGGACTCAGCTGTGGCTAAACAGTGGTTCCAGGAGATGTTGAAGGTGAAGCTCGAGTTGGATGCCACTGCTTGCCTCGCGGTGCTGTCCATCACTGCACAACACAGCTGGGAAATCGGAGTCTTCTTGCTGCAGTCCTTGCGAGAACAAGATGACCTGATTGCCCACAATGTGGCTGTGAGCACCTTAGGGAAACATGCTCGGTGGCAACTTGGTGCACACTGCGTTGAACGGGTGTCAAGTCAAGGACTCCGAGCCAATATCATCACATTCTCTTCACTGCTTAGCAGCGTCGAGCCTGGCAGATGGCACATGGCGTTGGGCATTCTTTGCTCCTTGCCATATCGTTCGCTGCGTCCGAACGACTTTACCCGCAGCTCAGCCATTACATCATTAGGCCCCGGACGCCAGTGGCGGTCAATCACAGCCCTGCTTCTTCAGATGTCCAAAGAAGCCCTGGAGGTAAACCAGGCCCGGTCACTCTTGCAACTTGTATGTCATTGTATGTGGCATGCGAGTTCCGAGTAACAGTTGTCCTCGCCAGGTCTGTTGTGGCTCTGCTCTGCGGGGATTCGAGCGCCAGAGCCTCTGGAAGCATTCGCTGTGGCTGCTCAGGACGGTATGCCACCAATGTGCCACCAATAGCTTCAGGTGTAGGGAGCGGGATTCAAGTTCGGTGCTTGTAGCATGTGGAATGAAACATCGCCTTGCTTTTTCAGCCTCCACGAGGAACCATCGTGCCCGTGAGCTTGATCCAATCAGCTGCAGTTCGACATTGAGTGCTTGTTCAGAGGTGGCACTGTGGAGTCGGACGCTGGATCTACTATGGGGAAACCTCGCCTCAAATAGCTGTGAGGCAGACTCGGTTTGCTACAACGCAGCAATGGCATCGTGCAGTGGCAGATGGGTTCAGGCTGTGTCTCTGTTGAATTGCCGGAATTCGGGCCTTCAGTGCACGCCCATTAGCTTTAACACCAGCATTTCCTCCTGCGCTGACTGTTTGCAGTGGTCTTGGGCACTTTTTCTTCTCGATGATCTGAGCAGGGCAACACTGCCACAGGACGTTTTGAGCCTGGAGGCCGTCGTAGATGCCTGCAGATCTCGTGAGCAGTTCTTTTTGATTCCGAGCCTATTGCGCCGCTTGAAATGGAGTCCGTGATAGCCACGGTGCACAGGGGAGTCTAGCAGCCACAGTCAGAGCAGCCTCACCCTGCAGTAGATCCAAGGCTCCTGGCATCCGCCCTCAGAGCTGGACCCAGCACCCTGGCCAGACCGTCATCTTGATGAGTTTATCTCAAACTGGTTTTAGCTGAGGCGATTTTCGATGACTTCCTGCCAGATGATCTTAACGAGGCGAGCCAGACACGTGCTGCTGCCGCAAACTTAGCAGCGGTTCACTCAGCGCACGGCGCAGGTCGAAGGCGAGGGCGAAGAGCCTGAAGAGGAGGAGGTTTTCCCACCCCCTTCTGATGACACTTGGCAGCGAAAGAGCTCCAAAAGCCAGCACGGACCATTGGTCGGATGCTGAAGCCACACAGCCAACCAAATCAGCAAAGCAAAACAGACAATGATTGAACCGTGGCAGGACGACCGCGTAGTTGTGTGCATTGTGTGTCTTTGGGGCTCACCCCGGTACCTGGACCAGTGTTGTAGCAGCAGCTACATCGAAACATATCGGACCTTGACGTACCCTACGTCCCTGCACTGCAGCGCAAGGAGACTAGAAAACCCTGAGCCGCTAGCTGGTCAACTCGCGGCGTTGTGCAGCGATGGTGTGTGGAGCCTTACCCGGACGTACTGACATTGTGTTCCGACACCGTGAGACAGGAGGAGATGGCCCTGCGCCACCTTGACCGGCTCAGCGCGGCCTCGGGGAAGGCAAATTTTGTAGAGAGAAACATGCTGGCATCATGCTGGTCTGTTTGATCGTGTGCCTGCATCATACGCGCGATGTTATCTTCAGCTCGTTGGATGCACGCAGTGTTGTGGTGTGGGGGGTTTGCCGCTGACGCCTTTACCAGGTGCGGCCACCGCCGCAGACTGGTCCGGGAAGGCAGGCTGTTGCAACACAGAGAGGGGAAGAAGGAAGGGGAAGTGCGGATTATCATTTCTCTTTTGACTCGTGCCAGCAGCAGCTTCATGGATTGGAAGCAGGATGGCACTCCCTGACCCTTTTCTGGTCAGGCCCGTCCTGAGATTGGCCAAGACCTACAAGCTGCCGGCTTCGGAGATCCTTGGATGCAAGAGTGATTTGCTGCAGGTCACCGGAAGTGCACGAAGTGTTCCGGGAGTTTCCCCAAGACATGCAGGCAACCTGTGTCCCTGCAAGGATCCATTTCGAGAGCCGGAGCGAGGCTGACCTTACCCTGTATTTCTCGAGTGGCGCCTTCTGCATTCGCACCTTCGTACAACTTGTGGTTTGGTCTCATGCTGAGTAGCCCCCGACGGGCGGTTGCGATCAGGCGCACATTGGCCGTTGTTAGTCAGGTGGTTCTGCTGTCGTCGAGCAGCAGCGGCCTTTTCCATCTCATAGAAGCTGCATAGCACGGATTCAACGAAAAAGAGGGTAGCTTCCTCAGGTGGAACTGCAGGTAGTCTGGCAACTCCACGTTGGATCGCACTTCCTCTGCCAAAAAGTTCACATCCTGTCTCCAGCTTTCCTGAAATCAGCTGAGGCTTCTTCACAGACAGCAGTCGTGAAGTGTGGCGTCGTGGCCTGGCCTACACCCTGGTAAGAGGCGAGAAAGGCCTGGGAGAGTGGTTCTGCGCGCATGGGGTCATCTTAATTGGCTTTGGTCTTTCTCAGAACGAAAGGCACCTCATGCTACATAAGGCTGTCTAGTCAGAGTCTAGTTGAATTCACTTGTTGCACCAGGGTTGTTTCAGCCTGGGCATCTCAGTTTTGCCCGTTCCTCCCTAGCAACGACGACTGCCAGCTGACCATCTCTCTTTGGCGCCAGGATGGGAGCGGCAGCGTTGAGTCGACCGCCGCGAAAAGTGAGGCCAAAGTGCCTCCTCAAGTCAACGAGCGGTGAGAGGCGCCCCTTCTTGTTGCTTCTGTTTCCTCGGCATGGTGTGAAATCAGCTTCTCGTTTCTATTTGGATAGATCCTCGTGCCGCGAAGAATGCCGGTGTAAGCGCTGGCAGATAATGTCGCGCGTGGGAAGCCTCACTGTCAATCGGCTGCGATTTCTGAGCAACCTGAACATCACCTGCTGAGGAAAGCAATGAGGTTGCCGAGTGAATGAAGCTTCTCATGCGGGTTCGCAAACATCGAAGGTGGTCGAAACGGAAGCCAGCCACAGACTATGATACTGGAAAAAGCCATTAAATTGTTTCGAAACCTGGAGTATTTGCGACGCAGGCCCTTGTGGGGAAGCGCTCAAAGTAACGCCGTCGAGTCAGCCTCCGAGGAGTCAAAGATTGGTGCCGGCTGTCTCCTCTGTTGCTCACACGGTTCTTAGATGTACAAACCCATGAAGCCCGCCGGCAGCCAGCCCTCTCAGCCTTGACCAGAGGCATCCCTAAGATTCGCAGCCAGAGCTTGGTCAACAGCCATGCCAGGTCCTGGGACTTCGAGTTCGACCATGTCTTCAGGCCAAGAGGGGAGCCATCCGACCTGGGCCTTGGGCTGCCTTGGAATGCCGGTAGAGGTGAGTGGGGGAGATTCTGATGCCAAATCCTCACCCCGTTGACGATATAGGGCCTCTGCGACTCCATGTCTGGGAGGCCTGCGGCTTCGCAAGGAGAGGTCTTTGAGGAGTTTGGGCCTCAGGGTTTAGGGCCTCGGGGAAGAGTGAGGCTTTGGTTTACACCTGCGTGGAGTTTGAAAGGTGGTCTGCATATGTCTGCATGCAGATGTAGCAGATGTGCACAAACTCAACTCTTGGAAGACAATCTTGAGATCGCAGGATCTTCAGACGGAGTCGCACTGCATGAATCGCCACCCCTGCACATGTTTGCGTGCGTTTGAGGGTCGCGCTGCTGGTGCAATCGGCCCTTGATGGCTACCGGGTGGCGATCCTGGCATACGGGCCCCCGGCCTCAGAAACCTTGTTGCATCAGCTGTGTGCATAGCCTGCCGCTCCGGCCGGAGGCGGGTACGTAAGCACTTGCATTCGTCTGTCTGTGCGCCCACCAGTATATGTCTACATCAAGGTGAGAGTCTTCGCCGCATAGTCTCTGAGACGGAAGGTCTACATCCTGCATGGGCACTCACTTGGCATCAGTGTCATGTTGTCGCCACTTGAATCGTTCGCCAAGGCAGACAGGAAGTGGCAAGACCTTCACAATGACCGGCCCCGGCACCGCCTCGGAGGAGGTGGAGGTTGGCCACCAGATCGCTCGAAGCATCAGTGGACTGGGAGGCAACCGAGAATTCTGGCATGATCCCCCGCACCGTGGACTTGATCTTCAAGGACCTACTGCGGATTGGGGGACGGGGGAGTCCGTGCACCAGCACTTGACAACAAGCCTTCACGTTCAAGAGCAGCCAACAGGGACAAAATCATGAGCATAAAATGCCAGGAAGTCGAGCAGCTGAAGAAGCATGGCTGGGAGTGCTTTGGCGTTGAGAGGGAATCGGGCCGAAGTGGGGGCGGTTTCCGTACCGACAGTTGTCCATGCGACTCAGGTTCGAAGTCTCCGCTGGAATGGCGGAGGCTGATGGAGGGAAGCTGGTATTCTGAGGTCCTGGACTTGTGATCCACAAGACAAAATCGAGACTCAGCTGGCTTGGGAGCAAGTCCTCGTATTTCTCGGAGATGGGAAAGCTTTCTCGAATTCCACCACAGCTCCCACCCTTCACCACGCCAAAGATGTTCTCCCGAGCAGAACTTGCCAGGTCTACAATGACAGCGTTCTGGACCTGACCGCGACTCCACTGCAACTGTTTATGGTTTCAGTTTTCTGAGGACGGGAGGCTGATAAAGCTTGCCTCTTTCAGTCTTGCTGAGCTCAGGCGGCCGCCAGACCGAGCTCAGGCAAAGATGCTGTGCAGAATATCTGCGAGACAGATGGAAGCCTCAGATTTCGCAAAGCTTTCAGCGAGGTCTCAAACTGCAGCATGTTGCTGTTTAGGACTGCCGGCCATCACGTCCAGCCCTCCTCCTCACAAAGAGAACGATGCACCTTTCCCGTTTGGCGCACGTATCGTGCAGGGCCGCCGAGCCCCGGCGAAGGCGACCGCAGCTTCGACCAGCCCAGCTGCCGCAGGATCCCTGTGCGATGCTTGGGCGAACATTAGTCCTTCCAGACGCGGCATGTCTTTTTTTTCCGGGAACCGACCTGGGAGCTGATTTTCACATGGAGTAACAGAGGTGGTGGATTGAAGGCCGCATGGGCTCAGCTGTTGCTAAGCTTAAAGGATTAAGATCAGGGTCAGCGAGGGCGCAGCTTCGTAACTGCATGTCTGGCACGGCTTGGGCATGACTGTGCATGCGATTCAGTCGTGTCTACAAGTGTGTGTTTACAACTGCGAATTGCGGTGTTTCACGGTAGAGGTCCTGTAACAAACGTACGAGCCAAGGTGTCATGTAATTTTTTTAGCGAAGGTAGAGGCATTGCCTGCATGGGACATGGCGTGGCTTTCGACGGCAGTGTTCTGTGGAGTAGCCCTTTCTTCGCCGGTTGCGAGAGACAGCCCGAGCACAGCGAGTTGCTCAACGGCCTTCCCAGGCAGAGAGACGGAGCTGTGCCTCCGTGTCAAGCAGTCCGCAAAGGAAGTCCGAAATCGTCGTGACAAGCTTTCCAGTGGGAAGGGCCGTGCTAAAGCCGGTGACCCTCCTGAGAACATTGCATCAAGTGAATCTGGTGTTCTCAGAGTAGTGTTGCCCGTCGTCCGTCGCAAGCGACAGGCTGAGGTGTCATATGTCCAGAGGTCGGTTCCAGCTTTGGTTAGGGAGCTCGGCAACTTGGCCAACTGGACAACAGACGTGATCGTTTTCGGTGACGAGGGCGAGGCGACCTCGACAGCACTACGGCGCTTGAAAGAATCACCACTTTCTGCACGATTTCGTGCTAGACGCAAGCACAAGCAACTGCAGGATCCGTCAAAGTTGAAGAAGTTGCACGGGGACTCGCAGGAGAAGATTCTTTGGAGATCCCGTCTGGTGCTGGACTTTGTGTCGGCTGCGCGCCAGTCTTCGACTGCGCCTCAACCACACATTCTGTGGTTGGAGGATGATGTTGAGCTGCTTCCGGGCTTTGGCAGCCTTCTTCAGGATTGGCTGCATTTGCATGGGGAGAGCAAGGATTGGTTGGTGCTGCAGCTTCTAGGATTTCAAAGGGATCCGGATGAAGCGACATGGGCTTGGGGGACCGCCGGGTGGGGTGGAGGGGGGACTCTGCTCTATAACGGCAAAAACCTGCTATCTTACTTGGATTTCCTGGAACAGAACTTTGATGCTGCCCCCCTGGATTGGCTCCACCGTGCTATGCCATCAAGGCCACTGGCAGAATGGTGGCAGCCACAGCTCCAACCTGTACTCCTACGACATTTCGGCGAGCATTCCACTCACGAAAAGTTCTTGTAGCTCTGCGGATCGGCTGGGGCATCCAGCGGCGAGAGTGCAGCCGCCCTCGGATCTCCCACATCTCACTGCAACGATCGGCCCAAGACTGGAGTCAAGAGCAACATGATGCAGCAGCTGCAGGTGTCCTCTTGCTGCTGGCATGTCTGGAGCTGTGACCTTCGAGTGTTGCAGCCACTCTGCTGCTCCGTAGCGCGAGCCTGGAAGGCCCGTGGAGCCCGATAATGGAGGTCTTCATTGTTCCCCGCTGGAGCTGGCAGTCCCTATCCTAGCCCTAGCTGCCCCGGCTGAGAAGCGGAGGTATTTGCGGCTGGGAAGCTGCTCCCTGGTAGCTGCTGTTTTGCTGCACGGAGATGCCCGCAGCAGTTTTTCCTCCAAGGGCTATGTTGCTCGTGCTCCAAGCTTAATTCGAGGTTCAAGCAGGTTTGCGGACGCAGTCAGTTGAGTCAAGCCAAGCCCACTCAAATCAGAGCTTACTTGCGGCACTCGTACTCCTGGATCCTCGGCAATGCCACGTGGGCGGCCGGAGGGCAAAGGCGGGCGTGGCAAAGGCCCCTATCAGAGAGGGGTGGAAGTGGAGTCAACATTGGAGGTCGTGAAATGTAAGGAGGGTCTAAGGTCCGAATATCACGCTGCATTGGTTTCAGTCGAGAGCCATTATCAATCATTATCATTGATGGCTGGAAGGGGGTGCTGCACTGAAGCTGTGGCAGCAGGTGCAGATGGGCGACGGTTTGCATGGGCTTGATAAGTCAGTGGCTTTTCCCTCAGGCAAACCGGCACGGCAAAAGGGCGCTGCCGAAACAAGGACACGCAAGCACTGCGCCACATGATTATTCAACGTCACCATGACATGGATTCCTGGCTATGTGAGCTGGAAGGAGCCGGAACGGTTATCCTGATGTCGCGAGCGCCTCGGGCAGTCAGGAGCGATCGCCCCACGAGTCCCAAGAGTGTTGTGAGCTCCGTGACGTCCCCCAAACCCGCAGGAATCGGACAGAGAAGAGTCAGAGACGGGCTCCGAGGAGGTCGATGAGGCGAAGTGAAGCGAAGCGAAGGGAGGCTGAGGGAGGGTCGTTATGGTGTTAGCCACGTGCCTCCTTGCAGGATGTCCCGAAGGCCAAGTTGATGCTCTTTGAGTTCGGCCAGGTGCCCAGCGGTCTAGCCTGCGTGTCTTGTGATAGCTTGTTACGTGACACCTGTGCAAATTGAACAGAGCTCCTAACCGAGCACTGAACGACGAAGCTGAGGTCAGAATGACCCAAAGATGGACTCCGGAGTTCGCCTGTGCCGAGCCTCGGGCAGTAAGTCACGTGGCCATGGGGGCCATTGAAGCGGCCATTGCGGCTTCCCCAGAAGTGCGCAGTCCTCGCCTCTTCGCCCAAGGATTCGGCTTGGCAAGAAGCTTGAAACCCCAGGCGCAGGGGCCGCAGTGGCGCTTTACCCGTAG